ACTTTATTTTTGGAGATGTTGCAACAGCTTCAATTATTGAAGAAACGGACAGCAAAACAGGGTTTGAAATCGTAGATACCCATTTGTTTACCCAATTCTCCAATAACATCCGAAATAATTTTGGTTTCTTAAATGGTTCAGAATTAACGTCTCGTGATGATAAGCAATTCCGTCAAGATGGCCGCAAAGTATTTAAAGAAGTGTGTCCATTGGTTGCGAAAATTATTTCTACGCAATTGGAAAAGAACAGTATTCAACCTGAAAACGTAAAACGTTTTTGGTTGCATCAAGCCAATGCCAATATGAATGAATTAATTTTAAAACTCATTGTCGGCAAAGAAGTTGCAGAAGCGGATCCTGATTTGGTACCAATCATTTTAGATGAGTTTGCCAATACGTCTTCAGCAGGTGTGATCATTGCATTACATCGTAGTGCGGATCAGGTGAATGATGGCGAATATGGTGTGCTGTGTTCATTTGGTGCAGGTTATTCTGTGGGTTCAATCCTTGTGCAAAAGCATGTTGCTTAAATCATAATTTTATAAAATCTCCCTCCTTGTGCCGCGAAAAGTGCAGTTCAGCTACTTTGAAAAAAAGGGGGGGAGATTGTCGAGGATTTAAGTTATTTTATTTGTGTAAAGCTCTTCCCTGAAAAAGGAGGAGTCATACGCTTAAGGCCAAGATCAAATAATGTTGAAAAGTATTTGTAGAGATACAGCATGACTGAAAAAACCAAAATTATTTCGGATGTTATTGGAGAATTGGGTAAACAAATGGGTATCTACGATTTCAAACCCTGTTTTGCTGTCCGTTTCTTCAATAATTGAAGCTGTTGCAACATCTCCAAAAATAAAGTGACAGTCACGTGAACGATAGTCAGTATGGCCTGAGGTAATTTCCACATTAACCAATAACACACGACGTGCACCCGTTTTTACAGCATCATAGGCTTGTTTTAAACCAAATGTAGCAGCTGAACACGCCACATTCATGTCATAGGCATAACCCTGAATACCCAATGCAGTTTGAATTTCAATTGCAACAGCAGGATAAGCACGTTGTAAATTTGAACAAGCCAAAATCACCACATCAATGTCTTCTGCAGTTACGCCTGCATTTTCCATCGCTTGTTTTGCTGCTATTACGCCCCACTCTGCTTGGATTGAAAGCTCTTCATCTGAACGTTCTTCTAAACGGGGACGTAAGCGATTAATGTCTAGGACACCTGATTTTTCAATGACATAACGACGCTTTACGCCTGATGCTTTTTCAATAAATTCTGCGCTTGAACCACGACGGGCAACAACTTCACCCGCTTCAATTTTTTCAGCATTTTCACTGTTAAATTGTTCCACATAAGCATTTAAACAATCCACCAATTCTTCATTGGTAATCACTTCTTCAGGATGGTACAAACCTGTACCTGTAATACGGATGCCCATGTAAAACTCCTTTTTTAAATTCACAAATATTTCAAATTATTTCTATTCTAACCGATTCCAAGCTTTTCCCATACTTTTTGTATTCTGGTTGACGAAATCGGCATCTTGGTTTTCATCGGTTGAGAAAATAATGAAATACGTAGTTCCTCAACCATGAAGTAGACTTCTTTAACACGAACATCCGACTTAAACTTAAACAGTTTATCCATCCAAGGATCTACTTCTTTAATTGCAGCATCATCACGATTTAGATTATTCGGCAATCGATCTAAACGCAATAACAATGCTTTTAAATAACGTGGATATTCCTGCCAAATATCGGAAGATTTTGAATAAACAAAATTGGATAAGTTCATTAAATCCAGTTGATCTTCAATATCATTCATATTTTTAGCAAATACGTCTTGATCCAACATCAGCAATTGCTGACGTATTTCCTGCCATTGAATATAAATTTCACTGATCAGCTTTAATGCTTCCTGACCATGACTTAAAAATGACTTTTTCACATCAGCCATGACTATCGCAAATTCTTCAGCATTAATGGGTAAATCTTGAATTGCCATTTGTAATGTTGCGTACACCAACATTTGCTCAAGTTGTGCTTTATCACCCAAAGGTGAATATGCCAATGCCAGTGGCTTGGAAATTTGCTTTTTCAATTGACGGATCAAATCCCCCAATTGCATATGAATCAAACGAATTACGCCTTCACGATGCTGCTTAATCGCTTCACTTTGATCATTAAAAGTCTGAATCACAATACCAGAGTCATCTTTCAACTCTAACTTAGCAAAGTCTTTGCTTGGGACCAGTGCCTGATATTGTTTAACCACAACCCCGGTTACTTTCTGAGAGGCCTCAAATACAAAGCTTTCAGGGAAAGTAGTAAACTCACCTTTTAACTGTTTGACCGGACTGTGTGTTTCAGTACGACAACGTGCTTTAAGTTCGGCAAGATCACGACCTTTTTCAATCACGCGGCCTTTTTCATCAATTACTTTGATAAATGGAATTAAGTACTGATCAATACGTTCAAAAGAAAAATCTTTACTGGTAATTTGTTCACCACGTAATTGAAATGCCAAAAACTCAAAAATATGCTGATGCAAATGTTGCGCATCGACTGCTTTGATCAATTTATTGGCTGTATCTGGGATCGGCACCAAATTACGACGTTTATCTTTTGGTAAGGCTTTTAATAACGCTTCGATTAAATCCAAACGCCAGCCCGGAATCCCCCAAGACCAAATATTTTCATCAACTTGCGCTAAGGCTTGTACCGGAATTTTTACTGTTGCGCCATCTTCATCATGACTTGGATCAAAACGATAGCTGGCAGCTAAACGTAATTGTCCATTATGTAAATAATCTGGAAATTGTTGCGTGGTCGGACGGTCATTCATCCATAAATCATCATCATCAACAAACAGATAACGAGGATTCTGCGGTTCTACTGTTGCTCGCCAATCTTCAAAACTACGACGACTGGCAATTTCAGTAGGCACTTTTGCGGCATAAAACTGATAAATGGTTTCTTCATCGACAACCAAATCACGACGACGCAGTTTGTCTTCCACACGCTCGACTTCTTCAAGCTTTAATAGGTTGTGTTTTAAGAATGGTGGCGTTGTTCCCAAGTTTCCTGTGGTTAGTGCATCTCTTAAGAAAATTTCATGCGCAGCCAACTGATCCACTTTTTCATAATTGGTGGCGCGTTTCGGTTCAATGATCAGCCCAAATAATGAAATCTGATCATAAGCATTGACCACACCCGGTTTTTTCGCCCAATGTGGCTCAAAATAATGATGTTTTAATAAGTTAGGCGCAGCTAAAAGAATCCACTCAGGCTCAATTTTTGCCAGTGTACGTAAATACACCTGTGAGGTTTCGACCATTTCAAATGCCATTACCCATGGGGTATTGGTTTTATGTAAGGTCGATGCAGGAAAAATTCGGGCTTTTTGCTGACGAACTGCCATGAAAATATTACGTTCGTCAGTTTTATTGGCAATAAAGGACAATAATCCTGTCAATAAAGCACGATGTAAATTTTCATAACTGGCTGTCTTTTCATTGAATGAAAGTTTTAAGCCCTGTGCTAAATCCAGTAATTGTTCATGCGTTTTCTTCCACTCACGTAAACGTAACCAGCTAAGAAAATGCTGTTTAGCAAAATTACGTCTTTTGCTTTCACTCAAAGTTTCACGATTTTCAGTCAGTGTATTCCACAGTTTAATATAAAATAGAAAATCTGAATCCGCTTCTTTAAATAATGCATGTTTTTGATCCGCCTGCATTTGCTTATCAGCAGGACGCTCGCGTGGATCTTGTACTGCAAGCGCCGCAACAATAATCAAAACTTCATTCAGCACCCCAAAATGAGCACCACCGAGAATCATCCGTGCAAGGCGTGGGTCTATTGGCATTTTTGCCATTTGTAGACCGATTTTGGTTAAACTGTTGTTTTGAAGTTCGGCTTTTTTAGTAGCAGGTTGAGCAAGTTTTTTTGCTTTAGCACCATCTACTACTCCCTGTTGGGAAACCTCACTTTCACTTTGTGCAACCGCTTGAGGGAGATTATTTGAATTTTGCACTTCATGGATAGCACCTAATTCAATCAGTAACTTACGCCCATCATTGACCAAACGATGGTCTGGCGGCTCAATAAAATCAAAATCTTCTACAGCACCTAAACCCAGACTTTGCATCTGTAAAATAACTGATGCTAAATTGGTCCGTTTAATTTCGGGTTCAGTAAAATCTGGACGACTTTGAAAATCATCTTCACTGTATAAGCGAATGCAAACACCTGGTGCAATACGACCACATCGCCCTTTACGCTGATTTGCAGCAGCTTGAGAAATCGCTTCAATCGGTAAACGCTGTACCCGTGAACGATAGTTATAGCGAGAAATACGCGCAAAACCACTGTCGATCACATAACGAATATTCGGTACAGTCAACGCTGTTTCAGCGACGTTGGTTGCGATGATAATACGTCGCCCACCACCAGAGGGATTAAAGATTTTCTGCTGTTCGGCTAAAGCTAAACGTGCATATAAAGGTAAAATTTGCGTGTGTTTAGGACCAAATTTTTGTAAGGTCTCTTGTAGTTCTCGAATTTCTTGTTCAGTGCTTGAAAAAATAAGAATATCCGCATGTTCAGGATGCCCCTTAGATTCAGCATCCTTAAAACATTCTTCTACAGCTTGTACCACTGCACGTGGTAAATTTTCTTCAAAATCGTCAAAGTCATCATCATCACTGCCGCCGATCGTCATCTCAGAAATCGGACGATAACGCAGCTCTACTGGAAAGCTACGTCCTTCCACTTCAAAAATCGGTGCGCCATTAAAATATTCGCTAAAGCGATTCACATCTAATGTTGCTGAAGTAATAATGATTTTTAAATCAGGCCGTTTTTTTACCAGTTGCTTCAGGTAACCCATGATGAAATCAATGTTTAATGAACGCTCATGCGCTTCATCAATAATAATCGTGTCATATTTATTTAAATAACGATCATTAGAAAGTTCAGCAAGAAGGATACCGTCCGTCATTAACCGAACGATTGAATCATTTGATCCTTGTTCATTAAAACGCACTTTAAAACTGATGCTTTCACCCAGCTTTTCACCAACTTCTTCAGCAATACGTTGCGATACACTTCGTGCTGCCAGACGACGAGGCTGAGTATGACCAATCATCCCAGTTAAGCCACGACCTGCAAGCATTGCGATCTGTGGCAATTGCGTGGTTTTACCAGAACCCGTTTCCCCTGCAACAATAATAATCTGATGCTTTTGAATCGCTTCAATCAGTTTATCTGCATACTGGGTAACCGGTAGATCCTGATTGAGTTTGATTGTCGGTAGACTGGCTAATCTTTTTTTGACTTGATGGTTTGATTTCTCAAACAGTTCTTGGAATTTTTCAGGATGAGCATCTTTTCCTTTTTTCAGTCGATTTAAACGATGGCGATCTCGTACCATAACCCATTGATCGACATTTAACTGATTTGGCACAGATGCATTATCCTAATACTTAAAATTGAACGGAATATTTTACGCTGTAAAACACAGGAGAGATAGTCCAATCAAAGTGAATTCACGTTTACGTTATACATGTATTATAAAAATAATATTTAAAAGCTGCTAAAGCTCACTCAACTAAGCAACTGTCTGTGGCTGCAAATATTCATATAGACCTAAATCTATTGCTGTATGATCTACATCAATCAGGCTGCTTGAAGTGATGCTTAAGTACAAAACAGCAGCCACCCGTATCATTTCCACGCTATACAAAATTGAAATGTGATGTAGTTAAAATTCAATTTATCTTATATGAACAAATTCTATACTTTGAAATAAATTTTATATCTTTTTTAGAAATCGCCCTTGAAATATAGCCCCAGAAGCATCATGTTTGTAACAGATTAAAAAAGGATGCTTTGTCATTCAAACATCATCTTTATTTGCTTTAGTTGATGAAATACTGACAAAACAACGGTTTTTGGTGAAATGTATCTGGAGCACGCTAATTTGATTTTCCGATCTTAGCGATAAAAAAATACTATTTCCCCAATAATCTAAAATTCATTATTCTAGTTAAATATTAGATAAACACCTCAATCATGGAGATAATGATGAGCTTAATTAATACTGAAGTTAAACCTTTTAAAGCACAAGCTTTCCAAAACGGCCAATTCATCGAAGTTACAGAAGCCGATCTTAAAGGTAAATGGTCTGTAGTTTTCTTCTATCCAGCTGACTTCACTTTTGTTTGCCCAACAGAACTTGGTGACCTTGCTGACAACTATGCTGAATTCAAAAAATTAGGCGTTGAAATCTACTCTGTTTCTACAGATACACACTTCACGCACAAAGCTTGGCACGATTCTTCTGAAGAAATCAAAAAAATTGAATATGTAATGGTTGGCGACCCAACTTGGGTTCTTGCTAAAAACTTCGAAGTTTTAATTGAATCTGCTGGTCTTGCTGATCGTGGTACTTTCGTTATCGATCCTGAAGGTAAAATCCAAATCATCGAAATCAATGCTGGTGGTATTGGTCGTGATGCTTCTGAACTTCTTCGTAAAGTTAAAGCAGCTCAATATGTTCACGGTCATCCTGGCGAAGTTTGCCCAGCTAAATGGAAAGAAGGCGATGCAACTCTTGCTCCTTCAATCGACTTAGTTGGTAAAATCTAATTCTTGAATTAGATTAAACACATAAAAAAACCACGCTTTTTAGCGTGGTTTTTTTGCATTAGATTTTATGTATAGGTTTTTGTGTTTGTAGATTTTTATTTAATGCGACCAAATTGCAATTTCATATCCATCTAAATCTTTAAAATGAAAACGACGTCCACCAGGAAAACTAAAAATCTCTTGTACGATGGTTGCACCCGCCTCTTTCACACACACTAAGCTTTGTTCTAACTGAGCACTAAACAAAACAATTAATGCCCCACCAGAACTTTGCACATCATCAGACTGAGCAAAGCCCCCTTTTATCTCCCCAGAATCAAACTCACAATATTCAGGGCCAAAGTCGGTGAAAGTCCAGCCTAAGTTTTGATAAAACCTTTTACTTTGTTCGACATCTTTCACCATAAATTCAATATAGTTAATGGAAATTTTTTGACGAGCCGCTGACTGATCCATCGATGTTTCTCCTTAAATTTATAAAATATTGTTCTATAGAAAATAAAATATGAGTCAATTGATAATACATTTAAACCACTAAATATAGGATAACAAAAATTATTTTTGCGTTGTTCTGCTCAAATGATCAACTTGCTTGAGTAGCTCAGGAATACGGTATTTCCCGTACATGGACTGTACATTATGTTTCGCTTGCACTAATTCTATGCCGATGGCAGAGACGTATAATGGCTTAACACTTTGTCCACGTAAAATTTCAAATTCCTTTGGTGTTCCTCTAAATTCATTTTTAGCCACCCCAATCACAGGGGTTTTATCAGCTAAGGCAGCATATAAGTGCTGTCCTAAACCTGCTGTTTGTTCAGTGCCTAAATAGACATAGCCATCAATCACAATCATATCGATGGGTTCTTTCACCAAATCCAATAACGTTAAAATACACGGTAATTCACGTTTATAAAATTGACCTGATTCATAGTCAGCAATTGGTTTGATGGAGATAAGGTAATGATTCAATACAACTGAACTGCCCCAAGACTCAAATACTACACCAGCAACTTGTGCAGAGTTATCTGTATAGGCAACGTCTATTGCAAGAATCATGATCTACCTCTTAATCACTAAAATAAAATACCAATTTTCTCATTTACTGATGATTTTTTAAGTGTTTATCTTGCCCAGAATCTGTAATGTCAAAATATGAATATCTTTAGCAAAATATAAACAGCTTTATTTACAAAACCACTATACATTTCTTCAGGTGAATAGACTAATTTCAAAAGATACAGAATATATTTTTCTGTAAAACAATCAAAAGTTTAAGGGGTTGCTTATGGGATCAATGATTACCGTGACTTCTTGGAAGTACAATGCTTCTTCACGGTATTTAAAAATTTTTTATAACAATGGTTCTGGTGAACTTTACCATCCTGTCCCAGAATTTATATACAATAATTTACTACGATGTAGTGATAAAACAGCATTCGTGCATAAATATCTAGAATACGATTTACATTTTAAGCGACTTTCAATTTTATAGTTTTTAGAACTGTGTCTTTAAAGCAGTCAGGGAGATTTCTCCCTGATGTAAAACTCGGTTAGTTTTTAAATGTCACCACAAACAGACCAGACCCAATCGACAAGGTTGTGGTCATAAACCTTTCATCTCGTTTAACTTCCATGATAAAGCTCTTTACTTCAGCAGCATGTGATATCACATTATCTACAATCAATACCCCACCATGCTCTACAAGCATCTTCTGTAAATATATCCAGTAATTTAAATAAGCATTGCGTTCAGCGTCCAGTAGAATAAAGTCATATTGTTCCTGACACTGTTCCAAGTATTTTTGTGCATCCCCTACCCAAAAATCAATCACGTCATCAACCTGTAACTCTTGAGCATGCAGCTGCGCTTGCTGAGTTCTTTTTTCATCGATCTCTAGCGTTGTCACCTTGGCACCTGTCACTTTGGCTGCATCCGCAAGCCACAATGTAGAATAACCCGTTGATGTCCCAATCTCTAAAATTTTCTTAGACTGCTGAATTCGCACTTGCATGGCTAAAAATAATGCTGATTCAGGTTCGATATTTCGATAACGTTTAATACGATCACACTGTGTAGCATCAAACTTAATAAAGGATTGATATAGTTCATTCAATCGTTGCAAAAATGGGTTACTTAAACTCATGTTTAGATCTTCCTTTTCACTATCATTGTTATTATTTCAATCATTTACGTCATTGCTATGACAATATATAGCTTTTGACAAGTTACATCGTTACGGTTTATTACGTGACTTTATCAGCTGGTAAAATCTATCAAGTAAAACTCAAACCTCATGTAAAAATTCAAATCTCGCTTGGACTTGACCATCTTCTAATGTGACTTGCTCACAAAACATTTCATAAGGTCGAACCCAGATTGAATAATCATCATATAAACATTGGTAAACCACAACTTTTTCACGGGTTTCACTATGCGTTGCGACATGAAAGACTTGGTATAAATTACCTTTATAATGTTTATAAATTCCAGCTTTTAACATCTACACTCAACACTCTAAATACGATATCTATGTTATACAGGATAGCCAAAGAAAAAACTCGTCCGTAGACGAGTTTTTTATGCTTTTCAATTTTTAAATTAAGAAAAGTCTAAGCCTTTTTCAAATGCTTTTAACTCGTGGCGAGCCATTGCTAAGTTTGATTTAGAACGATCTAAAACAAGATAAAGGAACAAGTTTTCATTTGAATCAAGTGGACGAATCAAATGATACTGTTTACCTAATGTAATTAAAATATCTTCAATTACATCATCTAATTTCAGTGCTTTTGCTACTTTACGCTTAGCACGAACAACTTCAGTATTACCTGCTGCTGCTAATTCTAAGTCTAAACCTGCACCTGCAGTCGCTAAAGATAAACCACTTTCGCTATCTACTAATGCAGCACAAACGAAACCATCGATATCAGTTAATTGATCTAGTGTAATACGAGCCATGAGCATCCCCGTTTCTTTCAACATTGTTGTTCGCTTTAGTAATTCAATTTTTATTTTGCTTTACTAAAACACTTTACTATTTAGCTAAAAATATTCATTCCTAACTAACATGGATAAATTAGTATTCTTTTTTTGAATACCCATTTAATTTTATTTGATAATCAATTTTAATTAATTATTTCCCACACTCATTTTAATAGCATAAAAAATATTAACTATTCAATAGAAATTTAAAAAATAAATGACTAATTTGACTATTTAAAACTTTCAAAAAAATCCAACAAATACCAGAGAGAAAAAATCCAGTACAGATCTCTTTTTTCAAAAAAAATGCAACTTATGTTACATTTTCTACAATGGCTTATCTATATATTTCTCATAAGTAATTCTGAGGTAGATTTGAGCTCATAGAGCATCTGTCCCAATAAAATATCTTTGTTGGTCATCGCCACTAAAACCAGTGGATGCTTTGGATGAGGAATGGCTGTCAAAAGTGCTTTTCCGTTCTCAGCATCAAGGGTAATTGTTTGACATCCAACGAGATTGATTTCTGAAACAAATGCAGTCACTAGGGCCAAAATCGAACTACTCACTGCGGCAATCTTTCCAGAATTGCTAATATTTTTCTTGTTGACTAAAGCAATTTCAAACCCATCAGAAGTACACAACATGATGAACTCGACACCACTGACAGAGTTCAAAAGCTGCCTGATTTGTTTTTCAGCATATGCTACAAAATCATCAGGTACTTTTCGAGATGTGTTTAGGTCAAGCATATTCAAGAAAGCCCCATAAATTAATTTGTAAATTCAGCATTTTCAAAAGCCGAAAACACAGGTTTTTCAGACTTTCTCCAGTAACAGAATTATTTGATATACTTCACATTTTACATTCAATTCTATCTGTTTTTATTGGCTTGTAAACATGTTTTTTCACTTTTAATTTAATTTTTTGAGCACTAATATTGTGCCACAAAGCTTCAAATTGTCAGATTTTTTTCAACAAGGTCACTTTCAAATAACTAATATCATAAATTGAGTGGATCTTAAACCTTATCTTGATTTAATTTTAACAATACAGTATTAAAAAACTTACTTTTTATCATTGGTTATTTTATTGATACTGGAAGTTCAAATATAAAGTGAGTCTATTGATATTATATGAAGCTTTTATTAAAACCAGATTTGTGCACTATTATTTGATATAAGATAAATTGATCTTATAAAAACTTTACATTTTATTTTTTGATTTGGTTATTTTTTGTGTTTATATTTATTTCATCCAACTGCTGGATGCCAAAAATTAATTCAAAAAAGGTACAAGACAATGAATAAACTTCTACTCTCTCTTGGTCTGATTGCAACGATTGCACTTGTTGGTTGTAATAAAGATAAAGCTCCAGAAACAGGGGCGACCGCAGGTGAACATGCTGCAAATGCGGTAGAACAAGCAAAACATGATGCAGAACATGCAGCTCAAAATGCAGCTGATGCAACTGCTAAAGCTGCGGATAATGCAGCAAATGCAACTGCGACTGCTGTAGATCATGCTGCTGATGCAACAGCACATGCTGCCGATGCAACAGTTGATGCTGCTAAAGATGCCACTGCAACTGCAGCTGGTGCTGTTGAAAAAGGTGCTGCGGACGTTAAAGAAAAAGCAAGCCAATAGTTTTAATCTGAAAAAAAGCTCCTAAATATAGGAGCTTTTTTATATTTGTCATATATTTAGATTATCAATGAATCAGCTTTCAGTTACTTGGAGTTTTGTTTATGCCACATTCTCATCACCTAGAGCAGCATTTTATACAACGTACAGGCTGGTTAAGAGCAGCGGTCTTGGGTGCAAATGATGGCATCATTTCTGTGACCAGTTTAGTGATGGGAATGGCAGCAAGTGGTGCGTCTAGTCACACGCTATTGATTACCTGTATTGCGGGATTGATTTCAGGTGCAACCTCAATGGCCGCTGGTGAATATATCTCCGTTAAATCCCAATCAGATATCGAAGCAGCGGATTTAAAAGTCGAAGCTCGTGAATTAGAAAAAAACCCACACTTAGAGCTTAAAGAACTGACTCACATTTATATTCAACGCGGTTTAGATCCCGAATTGGCGCATCAAGTAGCTGTTCAACTCACAGAAAAAGATGCCTTAGAAGCGCATGCACGTGATGAAATTGGGATCAATGAAGCAACTGCAGCAAGACCATTACAGGCTGCTGGTTCTTCAGCGTTATCGTTTTCAATAGGTGCCTTATTTCCAACATTGTCGATTCTGTTTAGCCCTGAAGCATATTTAGAAAAAATTGTTTTAGTCGTTGGTATCTTATCGCTGGTCATACTCGGTGCTTTATCCAGCTATTTTGCGGGTACATCAATACTCAAGGGTAGTTTCCGTGTGGCGGTATGGGGAATTATCGCAATGGCGTTCTCAAGCTGGATTGGTTCTCTGTTTCAAGTCACTCCGATGTGATCTAAGCCTCTATAAAATAAGCTACACTCTAAAGGTGTATTTGAATTATATTTTTATAATAAATACCGAACATAATTTGCTTATTCCAATTGGCTTGGGCAAAGTAACTTAAAACTCAAGGAGCTTAAGTATGTCTTTATTAGAACAATTAGAGATAAAACATCCCATCTTACTTGCACCAATGGCAGGCGTTTCTACCCCACTATTGGCAGCAGAAGTATCAAATCAAGGGGCTTTAGGCGCTTTAGGGCTCGGTGCAAATACCCTAGATTCTGCACTTCAACAAATTCAAGAAACCCAGGCGTTAACACCACATCCTTTTCAATTAAATTTTTTCTGTCATGAATCAACAGCATTAAACACTGAATCTAATACGCTGTGGAGTCAACATTTAGCAGCTGAATTTAAAAAATTTGGCGCAAATCCACCCACACAATTAAAATGCATTTACCCAAGCTTTAAAGATAATGATGATTTTTTAAACCTCTGTTTAGACACTCAACCCAAAGCGGTAAGTTTTCATTTTGGTATCCCGCATCAATATCAAATTCAAAAATTAAAACAGGCCGGTATCATCACTCTGGTTTCTGCAACCAATCTAACTGAAGCGCTGGCTATTGAAGAAGCTGGGATTGATATTATTGTAGCTCAAGGTATCGAAGCAGGTGGGCATCGCGGTATTTTTAACGCTCAAATTGATGGTGCAATTAAAACCGCAGACCTAGTCACGCTTATCAAAAAACATAGCTCACTGCCTGTCGTTGCAGCAGGCGGTATTATGAATGGGCAACAAGCCAAAGCCATGTTAAATCTTGGTGCTGATGCCGTACAATTGGGAACGGCTTTTGTGCAATGTAAAACATCAAACGCCAATACAGCATATCGCAAGGCCTTATTTGATCATCCACTCACTCAAATTACCTCAAGCATTTCAGGTCGCCCAGCACGCGGCATCATCAATCATTGGCAAGCGAGGATTGATCAGCCCGACCGCCCGCATGTAGCCGCCTACCCTTATGCCTATGATTTGGCAAAACAGCTAAATGCTTTCGCGGTGCAACATGGTGATACTGGCTTTGGTGCATTCTGGGCTGGAAGTAATGTTGGACAGATTCGTGAATTAGAGGCTCAGGATCTGGTTAATCAATTGGTTGTGGAAATGAACCATTCTTAATGCTCAACTCAGCTGTCAATAGAAGCTGAACTGCAGCAGCTTCTATTTATACTTATTATGCTTGGCTTTGTTCAACTAACATATACACTAAATCTAATTCAGGGCATGCATAACCCAATCCTGTCATTGCAGCGGTAATTTGCCCACGATGATGAGTGCCATGGTTAAAAACATGCATAAGTGTGGCAGCATAAGGCAAAGTCAGTTCTTGTCCAGAAACGCGTTTATAGGTTAAATCTGCATTTAAGGTTTTTTCATCTAACTGCTCTAGAAACTCAATCCAATTCTTAGACTTCTCTTGTAATTCATCTAGTAATAGTGTTTTTCCGGTTTGGATCATTGTATTTAATGCAATTGCAGGTGATACCCCCTGCTTAAAGCGTGAATACCAGAGATAATGCTCACCCAACAATAGATGATTCAAGGTGCCAACAATGCTTTTAAAGTAAAGACCAACATCCTTGTTAAAATCATCATCGGATACAACTTTTAAACTTTCACAAAGACGCTGGGTTGCCCAGATATTGTATTGTGCCAGTATTCTGAAAGAATCTTTATTCATGACTTAAATAAACCATCATTGTGGGTATATAGAATATAATCAGCTTGATAAAAATGCCGTTTTGACTAGAATAGCGACAAAATCAATAAAGCTAGCTTGATGCTCATGTTAAATCAAATTTTTTGCCAATCGGTGAATCATTTTCCACTTATTTGATTAAGTTTTAAATTTTTAACAACTTATTCAAAATACAAGTGAGATTTATCATGTCTGCATATCATCAAATACGTGCGCTATATGACCGCGACACGATTACAGTTTATCAAGCCTATAACCAACAAATTGCACAGTTGGCGGTACAACAACAAAAGTTTGTTTCGCCCTTTTCCTTTCACAGAATGACATGGATAAAACCTTCATTTTTATGGCTAATGGAAAGAAGTCATTGGGCAACAAAATCCAACCAAAATCATATTTTGGCAATCCGTATTCAACGTGATTTTTGGGAATATTTACTCCAGCAAAGCATCCATACAGACCCGACACTCTCTGCGCATAAAAATGGCGAACACTGGTTTGAGTCTTTTGAAAATGCCAAGGTCCATATTCAATGGGATCCTGAACGGAATTTAAAGGGAACTAAGCTTGAACAGCGTAGTATTCAAATTGGGATTAGTCGTTTTTTTAATTCAAGCATTTAACAACACGGCGATTCACTCAATCCAAGATATTACCCCTCTTGTAAATAAGATGGCGCAATTTCGACGTTTAGGAAAGTATAAACACGCTGAAAAACTCTTGCCTAAACAACGTATTTATCCTTTGAACAACGCATTAAAAAAACATTTGGTGATTGGTTGATTCAGTATGGGAGTTCGCTTCCATACTCATTACACCTTATTGATTACACATCCAATAAATTTAGCGATTCAACCTGTACATCACTCATCGTATTGCCTTGTTCAAGCAAGTGATTAAAGTAAGCCTCAACAACTTTTGCTTGTGCTACAGTGCTTTCCACTTTGTACATATTTTGACGGAATTCATTACTTGAATGTAAGCCTTTGGTGTACCAAGCAATATGCTTACGTGCAATTCGGCAACCTGAGTATTCACCATAGAACTGATAAAGTTCAGACAAATGTCCCAGTAAAACTTGTTTTACTTCTTGAATATCTGGTGCTGCTAAATACTCACCTGTTTTTAAATAATGAGCAATTTCACGAAAAATCCACGGACGCCCTTGGGCTGCACGTCCAATCATGACGGCATCAGCACCAGTATAGTCCAATACATATTTGGCTTTCTCTGGACTGTCGATATCACCATTGGCAATTACAGGAATAGTGAGCATCTGTTTGACTTCTTTAATCAAACTATAACGTGCTGTATTTAAATACATATCCTCACGAGTCCGACCATGTAAAGCTAAGGCTGCAATTCCTGCTTCTTCTGCTCGTTTCGCCACACGGATAATATTCTCATGACCATTTAAAAAACCTAACCGCGTTTTTAACGTCACAGGCACATCAATTGCTTTTACCACTGCATCTAAAATTCGGGCAACCAAATCTTCATCTTTCAGCAATGCCGAACCTGCTAATTTATTACAGACTTTTTTTGCTGGGCATCCCATATTGATATCGACAATTTGCGCACCATTTGCAACTTGATAACGTGCTGCCTCAGCCAATTGATCTGGTTCAGAGCCTGCAATTTGTGCTGAAATCGGCGCTAACTCACCATCAAAATTTGCCCGATATAGACTCTTTTTGGTCATACGTAGGGTCTGATCAGAGGTCATCATTTCACTTACCGCATGCCCAGCACCAAAGTATTTGCACAGTGTCCTAAACGGACGATCTGTGACTCCGGCCATAGGTGCAACGATTAAATTATTTGACAGTTGATAAGGACCAATATACATATATATTCATACATTTTTAGACCTTCATAGTATACTGCATCTGCCATAGTGGCTCATCATTTTCTGAGTATGTTTTCTTCGACATGAAAAAATTAGTTCGACATCACGCATTTCTTAAATCTTTCAGCGTGTTAGCTCTTTCTTTAAGCCTAGTTGCTTGTGGTAAAGGTTCATGGTTTGCCAATGAAGATGATGAACAATTAAAACAAGAGCAAATCAAAAAACTGATTCCAAATCGTGTCAGTCAACGTGACTCGTGGGCAAAAGACATCTACGATATTTCCAATGAATTAAAAATCCCAACCAACAAAGAAAATATCTGCACCATCATTGCAGTGGTTGATCAGGAATCTAACTTTGTCGCTAATCCTGTTGTGCCAGGTTTGGGGGATAAAGCGGTAAAAGAAGTCACCACACGTTTAAATGAAAAATTTGAAGATAAACTCGGAACCACAATTGGTGGCACGGTTGCTTCATATTTTGAGAATGTTTTAAAAAATCAGCCCTCGCCTGATGATAACTATTTAAAACAAATGAGTCGTGTCCGCACTGAAAAAGATTTAGACGTACTTTATCGTGAAATCTTTGATTATATGGCAAAGCATTATCATGTGAGTGCACTGACGGGTGCGGCAAAATTTGTTGGTCAAGATATTGCTGAAAAAATGAACCCAATCACAACATTAGGTTCAATGCAGGTTCATATCAATTATGCCAAAGAGCATAAACGCACCAGTATGAACATCAATGAATTACGTGATGATCTATATACTGAATTTGGTGGTTTATACTATGGAATCCATCGTTTAATGATGTATCCAGCAGATTATGATAAACCGATTTATCGTTTTGCTGACTATAACTCTGGGATGTATTCGAGCAGAAATGCCGCTTTTCAAAAAATGATTGATAAGCTCACTGAAGCTGATCTGGCACTCGATGGTGATTTACTCTCGTATGACAAAAATGGCGACGCACGTCCAGCGATAACTGATACAGAAAAAGCTCTCACTGCTTTATTTTCAAAAAATAATATTTTAGTTACGCCTAGACAGTTACGTAGTGATTTAAAAGACGAGAAACAGCAAGACTTTGAAAAAACTCAAACTTATATCGCTGTATCTAAACTTTATAAGAATAAAACAGGTAAAGATCCAATGTATGCCATAATGCCAGAAGTTGTCATTTCTGGGCCTAAATTGAGTCGTGATTATAATACTAACTGGTACGCAAGCCGCGTAAACGGACGATATGAAACATGTATGCACCGAGCAAAACGTTTAAAAATTTAGCATTATTTGATTTTGACGGAACCTTGTGTAAAAAAGACAGTTTCACAGGGTTTATTTTCTATGCTTTATCAAAAAGACATATCGTAAAGCAAGGCATCAAAATTTTACCGTGGATTCAGGCCTATTATTTAAACATCTATCCTCCCAACTCCATGCGTATCAAATTATTTAATGCAATGTTTAAACAAGCCGATGCCAATGAAATTCAAGATATTGCAAACGAATATGCTCAACGTTTAGTTCGACAACTGGATCAAAATCTTTATCAGCAGTTATTAAAACATCAAAATAATGGCGATGATGTTGTTTTGGTTTCGGCATCTGTAGATATTTACCTCAAAATCATTTGCCAAATCTTAGATATCGACTTGATCTGTACCGGTACTGAAGTCATAGATGGCAAATTTTCTGGCAACTATTCCACGCCTGATTGTAGTTGTGAACAAAAACGACTACGCATCTTAGAAAAATATGATTTAGACCAATATGACAAAATATTCGCCTATGGGAACAGTGAAGAAGATTTAGATATGCTTCATTTGGCTGACTATCAATATATGGTCGGTAAGGATCAGGTTTTACCCTATTTAGAAGATGAAAAAAAATTTGCTTAAAAGATTTAATCAATGACTTGCTAAATATATATGATCTAAATAAATTGGGTAAAATTTCTTGATAATTATTTTATAATCAAAGTATTACCATAAAATTTAAAATAAACTTAAACTTAATTTTCCTTCCTTTTATCCTTGTGAATTTTTTATTTCAAACGTACTTTTAAAGTCTACGTTAAAAAAATTATTACTTCATTGGAATATTGTGATATAAAACCCACTTTAGACAAATAAAGATAAAACAATCAAACTACATACATTAAATTAAGACTTAAAAACAAACTAACGAAAAGGAATTTTACTTTGAAAATTAATGGACTTCATATAATTTTGACCACGCTCTCTATTTTAACAACATCATCAGTAATGGCTGGTCCAGCAAGCTGTGAAGATAATTTTGTTGTCAATCGCCAAAATGGCATGGTCGATTATCAAGCAACCGTTTTGCTCTCTTCGTCAAACGAGCACGATATTTCACAGCAGATCAAACAAGCAATTGAACAGTCAGGTTTCCGTATCGATAGTGAGGAAACAACTCGTTCAGGGACTGAGATTACCTTCTTACCAAACAAACAGGCTAGAGATGCTTGGCTTGCAATGACAGCTGTCGTGACCAAGACAGAGAATCAACACATGGTTGGATTACGCAGCTTAGGAGATAGCAGCTTAAAACAACAAAGTACGCCACAGATGCGTACAGCGATGTGTGGATTTCTCGCCAGTTTACCGAGTGCTAAGTCTTCAAATATGGTTGCCGCACAAACCTCATCTGGTCGTGGCGCACCTCCTGCCACTAAAAATATTGGTCGAGAAATACGACCTAAATCTGAGTTGGATGTGCGTGTAGCACAACTGGCTCTTGAACCAGGGGCAGCAACAATTATGGGTAAAGCATGTACTACAAATAGATCACATGGACAAACTTTCCGTGATTATTTACGTAACGAAGCAGTGTTTTTGTATCCAGTGACACCTTATCTTGAGGAAATCCTCAGTCTGTACGAAAAATCTCGTCCTGAAGATACAGTAATTATTTCTCCACTGATTACTCAGATGCGTATTGAAGGGCGCACCAATAGCGATGGTGAGTTTCGTTTTTCGCAACTCAAACCAGGCAAGTATCTGATCGTTGCTGAACATGCTTCTGCTGGTGCAGGCAGTTATATGAATTATGATGGTGCCAATACTTCACAAAATGGTAATACCATTACCACTACTCATTTCTATTCAGAACGTGAATTTTTTCGGAACTGGAACGATATCCTTAAAGATCGTGTCACAATTTCAAAACCCGATCAGATTGTCAAAATTAGTTTAACCCCACCCTTTCGTGCTCAGGGGCTAATTGGTGGTTTAATTAATCGTGGAAAGCAAAAAGGCACTGGCGTTATGGGCTTGTCTTGTTCGGAGTGGCAATTTAAATGAAGAAGCATATCCCAATATTGTTGTTGCTGAGTTGTATGATAACAACTCCTTTCCTCTATGCTTCGGATCTTGCCCCAATGCTCGGATCTTGGCAATGTACTGCTCAAGCTGAAATTGCACTGCCTATTAATGCAGGTAAGCCACTTAAAATGGTTGAGACCTATACCGTGATGACGACTGCAGATGGAATCAGTGAAGGAGATGATTCAACTATTTTTTACTTTCCCTCAGGGGAAAAGTTAATGCCCATCGAGGTGATTAGCTATTCTAAAGCGCGATATCGTTTACAAGGTGATACTTTAAAACTTCTTGTTTTAACTTGGGAATTACGTGAAGGACGTATTGCTGCTAAAGAACGGGCAGATTTTATTACCAGCATGCTAGGCAAAAATGCACCAGCTGCAGCTCGCTCACAATTTGGAGCAAAAATAGATCGTATGGCTGAAGATTTTGCTGAAACTATTGCGAAAAGTTTTCAGGCAAGAATTGGTAAAGAAAGTTCCATACCATTTCGGGTGACGACCACGGGTGCTGGAAAAATAGAAAAAACCTTTGGTTCAGGTCCAAAAGCAGTCACACATCAATGTGTCCGTTTATCCAACTAATCATAAACTATCAATTTAATGAAAATTTAAATGCTGGATCGATTATATATGGAGTCTACAAAAACTAACCAATCGAGTAGAAATGATTTTGACCATTATTATGCTTAAGATTTTTGCTCTAACTTTAGATTTGATTTAACTGTTGTTTTAGGAAAAATATTAAAGCATCAAAATATACATGCAAAATGTGGCTCAGGTTAGGTTAAGAAGGTCGTGAAATGATCCGGGTTTATCTAATGACTTAATGTACTCTAATTACAAAACTTTAGAATTAGAAAGTCTTTTATACAATAGCAATATTTTTATAGGATAAAAATGAAATCTTTATTTAAATTGGTGTTATTTGTTACTTCACTGATTGTAACAACTAATATCTGGGCATATGATTGCCCTGGTAATGGTCAAAATGACGGAACTGGTAGTTGTGTTTATTTTGATGGTTCGTATCCCAATCACCCAGCAGGTTCGATTCCAATGAGAGGAAGTCAATGGGATCTTTCTTCAAAAAGTAGTTCAAATGATTATTCTTATTATCCAGCAGAATTATCAAACTGGGGCGTAGTCGCCTATGGCCCTAATAATCGTTGGGCTTCGGGTCAGAATTATTTAAGCGCTGCAGATGCAGAGCGAGCAGCTGTACAAATCTGTGGGCACAAAGATTGTTGGGCTTATTCATTCCAAGGAGGTTTTGGTGCGATAGCCAAGCAAACCAATGGACGAGAGTTATTTGCAGAATGGTCAAGTCAAAGCCTTCAAAACGCGGAAGCCGCTGTTATGCAATCTTGTGAGAAGGTCTTTGGTAAAGGAAAGTGCCAAGTAGTTGTTTCAAGTGCAGCTCAACATTAAAAAAATATAAGAATAATATTAGGGGCTGTTGACATTTGTAGCATATATTTTGCTCTATAAAGGCAGCCATATAAATATACAAGCTAATGCAACCGAACTTTAATAGTTTCGTTTTAACTTGTCATATTGAGTGGCTATCCTCTAAATTGCTTTGATTCAGAAAACATATTTTTAATTAACAACCTATTTTAATTTTATTCAAAATCTTGAGGACAATCATTAAATTTTTAAATCCGATCTATACAACGAAAAAGCACCATTAATCACACCCAAATAAAAACCCCGCCAAAGCGAGGTTATATTTCTTAGAAATCTTAAAACTAATCAATAAATCGACATGTGATTACGATGAATCATTTCTAAAGAACGTGCTTCACCTAGCACCTGATACACCTTATCCGAAGCTAAACCTTTGACAGTTTCAGCAGAACGCGAACTAAAGTTCACTCGTCCAACCGCGACTCGATGACCATTCTGATCAACACATTCCACAACATCACCACGATCAAAATGTCCTTCAACTGCTTTTACCCCTACAGGCAATAAACTACGATGGTTTTCTTTAATGGCTTTGACAGCACCATCATCTAAAACCAAGCGCCCTGCAGTTTGAAGGTGTGCAGCTAACCACTGTTGATGTGCTGTAACACGATCATCATCAGTAATGAATAAAGTACCCAATAATTCACCCGCCATTAAACGAGCCAATACATTGTCACTTTCACCACTAGCAATCAGTGTTGGACAACCAGACTTGGCAGCCAAACGAGCAGCACGAACTTTGGTCAACATACCGCCACGACCAAACTTACCACCACCGCCTGCCATATCAAACAAGGTTTCATCCATTGCACGAACAGTATGGAACAATTTTGCATTTGGATTAGAACGTGGATCTGAATCAAACATCCCTTGCTGATCAGTCAAAATGATCAGTAAGTCTGCATGAACTTGCCCTGCAACCATTGCTGCAAGCGTATCATTATCACCAAAGCGAATTTCATCAGTAGACACTGTGTCATTTTCATTGATTACAGGAATCACTTTCCAATCAATTAAATTTTGCAGTGCATCACATGAGTTAAGGTAACGACGGCGATCTGCAAGATCATCATGAGTTAACAAGACTTGCGCAGTTTGGATAGAATGCTTTTCCAACACGCTTGACCATGTATGAATTAATCCCATCTGACCAATGGCAGCACAAGCTTGTAGACTGGGTAAATCGGTGGGTCGATTCTCTAGCTTCATACGAACCATCCCTTCAGCCACAGCACCTGAAGACACAAGAATGATCTCGTGCCCTGCATTGTGTAGATCTGCAATTTGTTTCGCCCAATGCGAAATTGCATCCAAATCTAAACCTTGCCCATTTGCTGTGAGTAAAGATGATCCGATTTTAACAACGATACGTTTTAAAGCCTTGAGCTGACGTTGCCCATCTACCACTTCTATCATCTTGTCCTCGGTCTTTCTTTTCTAAATGGGTATCTTTAGAGACTATAGATACCCTTAGAAATTAGCGTACGTAGTACACTTCCATTTCGCCATCATCCTCGCCATCGTCATCCTCATCATCTTCTTCCTCTGCCAAAATACCAGCAAGACGTTGTTGACGACGCATTTCACGATAAGCTTCTTTTGCAGCAATCGTTTGCTCACGTGTTTCAGCTTCAAGCTGATCACGGAATGCTTTCATTTTCGCTGCATACTCTGGATCTTCGTCTTCCAACTCACGTTGTTGCTCGATTTGATCCATGAGGTAATACACAACAGGTTTGGTACCTTCTTCAAGCAAGCCTGAAGTTTTAAATACGGGACCATCCCATTGTAATTCTTCAAGAATATGATTACACCATTCTTCTTGAGTATCATCACTTAATTGATCAAGTTTGTTTAAAACAAGAACAATCGGTAATTGAGCCAATGTTGGTGAGAATTTTTTCAATTCTTCCACAATCGCTTTGGCATTGTAGGCAGGATCTGAACCATCAATCGGTTGTACATCGACAATATGTAAAAGAATACGTGTACGTGCCAAATGCTTAAGGAAGCGAATCCCTAAACCAGCACCTTCCGCCGCACCTTCGATCAGTCCAGGAATATCCGCCATAACGAATGAACGATGACGATCCGCATCGACCACACCTAAGTTCGGTACCATTGTTGTAAATGGATAATCTGCAACTTTTGGTTTAGCTGCTGATACTGCGCGGATAAAGGTAGATTTACCTGCATTCGGCATTCCCAATAAACCTACATCCGCTAGAACTTTTAACTCTAAACGAATTTCACGGTATTCACCTTTGATACCATGTGTACATTTACGCGGAGAACGGTTGGTCGATGATTTAAAATGAGTATTCCCCAAACCACCATCGCCACCATGTGCAACTAAAACCTTTTGGCCACTTTCAACTAAATCGCCAATAATATCGCCAGACTCTGTATCTACAATGGTTGTTCCTACTGGAACTTTCAGGATAACTGATTCACCACCACGACCAGCACAGTTTGCGCCAGCACCGTTTTTACCACGTTCAGCGCGAAATTTACGGGTATAACGATAATCTACTAAGGTACTGGTATCGTTGTCAGCTTGAATATATACGCTGCCACCACGACCACCATCACCACCATCTGGGCCACCAAATGGTACAAATTTTTCACGGCGAAAACTGGCTACGCCATTGCCACCGTCGCCAGCCTCTACGGTAATGACTGCTTCATCAACAAAGCGCATGTTGCCAATCCTCTAAAATCTTTAAAACCCCATATTCTGCCATATTTTCAAAAATTTCTCGAATAGTATTATTCAGCTAAGCATGAATTTTCTTAAACTTTTTTGATCAGAGGCTTGATAATGCATATTTTTATTCGATTTCGATTGTTTTTTATTCATATATTTTTCTATAATCAGTTACATGAAAATCAATAATTCAAAATTAAATCACGCTTATTTTAATGAATTTCACAATTTCTGTTTATTCGCATTCGATTTTTTGATTTTCGATCTTATACATTAATTTTAAGGAACAATAATATTGTCTATCGTCCAACTCAGTGCTGCGCTTGGACCCGCAGAATGTGAACTCGCTGTAAAATATACGCTTCAAGAAATACACAAAGAAGCCAAAACTAAAAAGATCTATCTCCAAACAATTGAAAGCCATGCGACTCAACATGGTTATTCCTCGGTACTGCTAAGTGTCGATGAGAATGCCCGAACATGGCTCAATACTTGGCTCGGTACAATTCAATGGACTTTTCAAAGTCCAATTCGTCCACAACATAAACGTAAAAACTGGTTTGTAGGCATCACACTATTTGATACACCGTTACAATTACCTGCAGATGACACCATCACTTTTCAGGCCTGCCGTGCTTCAGGTGCTGGTGGACAACATGTCAACACAACCGACTCTGCTGTCCATGCAACTCATGTTGCATCTGGAATAAGTGTAAAGGTCATGTCTGAACGAAGCCAACATACCAATAAACGTGTGGCAAAAGAATTGATTGCACTCAAACTACAACAACAGATGGAGAGCCAGCAAGCCCATCAGAAACACGCTCAACATTTACAACACGCGTTGATTGAGCGAGGCAATGCTATACGCAGTTTTAAGAAGTAGAAATATTTTAAAAAGAGAATTACATGAAACCAAAACACTATAATTTAAAAGGTTTAGATAGCGAAATTTTAGATATTACAGCTATTGATGCAGATACATGCAGAATTTATATCGTCACCCAACACGGCTATTTATATTGCTACAACTTAACTCAACAGCAATTACAACAGTTATCCATAACGCCCCTTCCGCTTCCAGTCCTAAATAATCGAGAACTCCGTCATTACGGTACCCCTAAATACCAAATTAAATGTAGTGCTAATGGAAAATTTATCTCAGTTTATGTCGATCATGGGCAATTTGGAGTTGTAATAAACACCCAAACACTGGAGACAGTTCTACACATTGACAGTCAAAATTATTATGAAGATACCGTGTCTTTCTCATTGGCTTTTACACAGTTCGATTCACAAGATATTTGTATTTATAGAAGTGACTGGAATCGACTTGAAGGATTTAATTTAACCACAAATCAGCTTTTGACTGAGCGCTATATTGCAGCTTATGAAACTGAACCTCCTAAACACTATTTAGATTACTTTCATGGCGCGTTATATGTCAGTCCAAACAATGATTATATTTTAGATGATGGTTGGATATGGCATCCTGTAGCTTCTCCCAAAGCTTGGTCACTCAGTCAATGGTTTAAACATAACCCTTTTGAAAGTGAAGATGGCTCAAGTGTCCAAGCATTATGTTATCGGGAAAACTGGAATGCTGTAATGTGCTGGCTTGATGATCAACATGTTGCCATTTGGAATATTGAATTGTGGGATCAAGAAGAATTTGACCTTAAATCTGAACCCAAAAATCGATCAGGAATACATCTTCTTTCACTCGCTGAAACAATGTGGGACGATGATTATTCAGCAAAGTATTGGGAAATGCCCGAGCAAACTCAACAAGTTTTTAATTTATACGCTGACCAAAATTTTTTAATAATTGTAGGCAATGAAAATATTACGACTTATTCTATTGCTGATCGAATTTTGTTAAATCAAATAGAAAATTCACGTCCACAAAAGCAGCATAAAAGTAGACACAGCTTACTGTCTTTTGCAAATAAAACCGTTTATGAAACAAGCTATATCTAAATATTGGCAATAAAAAAGGAAGCCTGAGCTTCCTGGATTTACAACACAACAAAATTAAGACTTTTGCAAATCCAATTGAGGTTGATTTGATTCTTCAAGCATTTTACGATCCACTTCAGCCGGATTATTTAAAGCGTCATTTAGCTTCTCAACATCTAGCTTACCAACCCACTTCGCAACCACAATCGTTGCCAAAGAGTTACCGACCAAATTAGTCAATGCACGTGCTTCAGACATGAAACGGTCAATACCTAAAATCAAAGCCAAACCAGCAACTGGGATATTGCCTACAGCAGCCAAAGTTGCTGCCATGACAATAAAGCCTGAACCAGTTACACCTGCTGCACCTTTTGATGAAATCAACAAGACTGCAAGTAAAGTAATTTCATGCCAAATATCCAGTTGAGTATTGGTTGCTTGTGCAATAAAGATCGCCGCCATAGTCAAATAAATAGAGGTACCATCAAGGTTAAATGAATAACCTGTTGGAATCACCAAGCCAACCACAGACTTTTCACAGCCGGCAATTTCAAGCTTTTTCAGCATACGTGGTAATACAGATTCTGAAGACGATGTACCCAATACAATCAACAACTCTTCACGGATCATACGAATCATTTTTAAAATACTGAATCCGCAGAAACGACTGATCGAACCTAAAATAATAAAGATAAACAACAAACACGTGATATAGAAACAAAGAATTAACTGTGCAAGTTGCGCTAAGCTACCAATCCCATACTTACCAATGGTAAATGCCATCGCACCAAAGGCACCGATTGGCGCAAGTTTCATAATCATATTCACAATGTTAAAAAACACATGCGAAATTTGATCAATCAATCTTAATACTGGTTTTCCAGCATCGCCAAGTTTATGTAATGCAAAACCAAACAATAAGGCAAATAAAAGAACTTGTAGAATTTCACCTTCTGCAAATGCACCCACTACGGTATTTGGAATGATATGCAAAAAGAAATCAACGGTAGACTGTGATGCACCTGATTCCACATACTTACTGATACCTGTGGTATCTAAAGTCGCGGGATCAACATTCATCCCAACGCCCGGTTTGGCGATATTGATGACAACCAAACCAATAATCAGGGCAATGGTAGAAACGACTTCAAAGTATAAAAGTGCAATACCACCAGTCTTACCCACTGATTTCATGCTTTCCATACCCGCAATCCCGCTGACCACGGTACAGAAAATCACAGGGGCAATAATCATTTTAATGAGCTTAATAAAAGCATCACCTAAAGGTTTGAGTTGTTCGCCTAAACCAGGAACACTTTTCTCTACACCATTGATCAATTGAGTACCACTTGGAAAGTAGTGCCCTACAATCACACCCAAAATAATGGCAACAATCACTTGAAAATAGAGTGACTTATACAGCGGTTTCTTAGCCATGATAATTACTTCTTTCTATATTTCTGTTTGAAGAAATATCCAATGTTAATGCTACCATTTGCTGACACAGTCCAAAATCTCGATAAAAATTTCTGAGAAGTTGGTTTTTAGCAAATAAAAATCCCTTCAGAAAACGAAAGTTTTCCAAAACAATGACAACGAATGACGATGTTTAAGATTTATTCTTTCTGGCACCTTGGCCAAAAGAATAAATACAGAACAGGAGATAAAAAATAAAACGCTCTTCAAGGCTATTTTAATTAATTTTTGATGATCAATCTCTATGCAAATGTTAATTTCGCCTAACATCTGTGCAATTTATGCTTAGACCTTAGTCTAATATCGTCTATATCTATACGATCCAGATCCATTTATGGCATAGTGTATTCCACTGTCTACTCTCCCTTGATCCATTTGACATGAATACAAAACGCAATCTTTATAAAGACTTTGAACATCCTTTTGCGCAGTTTGTGCGAATTGTTGGTAAAGGGAAAAATGGTGCACGATCATTAACTTATGATGAAGCTTACCAAGCTTTTTCAATGATTTTGAAAAATGAAGTCTTAGACGTGCAACTTGGCGCATTTTTAATGTTGCTTCGAGTCAAAGAAGAGTCTGTAGATGAACTTACAGGCTTTGTCCAAGCGACCAAAGACCAATTGAATTTTCAGCCACTTGCTGTGGATTTAGATTGGTCATCTTATGCGGGTAAACGCAAACATTACCCGTGGTTTTTATTGGCAGCATTAACACTTTCAAAGCATGGCTATAAGATCGTGATGCATGGTGCATCAGGCCATACCATGAACCGTGTTTATACTGAGCAAGTCTTAGAATACTTGGGCTTTCCAATTTGCCAAAATGAAGCACAAGTCAAACAGCAACTAAACACACAAAATTTTGCCTATTTGCCTTTAAATGTGGTCTCTCCGATCTTGGCAGATTTGATCAATCTTAGGAATGTGATGGGTTTACGCTCCCCGATTCACACACTGGCTCGTTTGATTAATCCATTCAATGCCAAAGCAACCTTACAGGCAATTTTCCACCCTGCTTATCGTAGTTCACATCAACAAGCTGCCTTTCAATTAGGTTATAAAAATAGTGCTGTGATTAAAGGTGAAGGTGGCGAGTTTGAGCGCAATCCAGATGCCAAAACCCTCATCTGTGGTATTCAAGATGGTGAACTTTATGAACATGAATTGCCTAAATTAACCGATAACCGCAGCCCAACAGAAGAGCAGCTTGATCTCGCTATTTTTAAAGCAGTTTGGGAAGGTCAACAAGCACATGAGTATGGTGAAATTGCCATCACTGAAACAATGGGCATTGCTTTATATACCATGGGTATTGTAAATAACTATCCAGAAGCTATGAGTAAAGCAAAGCATCTTTGGAACACACGTTTCTAATTTCATCTTCAAACAGCAGCGTGAACGTTATTGATCACGCTTTTGGATAAAATAAAAATCAGCCCAATAAGGATAACTTTTTCCTGAAGAATGAATATTGATGAGTTGCAACTGATCACCCATTTTGACATCGATATTATTGGGTTGATAAGGACCAGATAAATAAGCATCTTTTTGCTTTCCAATCAGACTGGAGCAATACAAATGATGGGTTTTTATCTTTTTTGATGCATCGGCTGTATAAGCATTACGGATCTTGATACCAATTAACAGCATGGGATAACCATCATTTTTAATTGATGTATATTGTGGGACTGGCGTTTGGAAATTTTGACTTGCGGTTACGGTAACATCTAATAAACATTGAATACTTCTTGCATCACTTGTTCGCTCAGCGAATACACTGGTCGAAATTGCAGTGATACAGAATAAACTGAGTCGAGCAAGCTTTATTGTTTT